GCTCCCTGAGCTTTGCTCCATTGGAGCGCTTCCTGCCTTCCTCTGCATGGGAGAACAGGTCTCTACCCATCTCCGTGTGACATCCCGTCACATACCTGTATGTCGCCAACAGATCCCCTCTGAGTCTCCTCTTCTCCAGGCTGAAGAGACCCAGTTCCCTCAGTCTTGCCTCATACCCCATCCCCTGCAAACTGGCCACCAACCTTGTGGCCCTACGCTGCACTGACTCCAACCTGGCTATATCCTTTCTGTAGTGAGAGGCCCAAAACTGAGCACAATACTCCAGTTGCGGGTGCACCAGAGTTGTGTAGAGTGGTAGTAATACCTCTCTTGATCTAGAAGCCACACTTCTGGCTATGCAAGCAAGGGTGGCGTTCGCCCTCTTGACCACCGCATCACACTGCTGACTCATGTTTAGCCTGCAGTCAACCAGCACCCCAAGGTCCCTTTCACAAGTGCTGCTCTCCATCTACTTGTCCCCTAACCTGTACTTATGACACTGTTCCTATGCCCCAAGTGCAAGACCTTGCACTTATCCACATTGAACGCCATCCTGTTGTCTCCTGCCCACTTCCATAGTCTGCCCAGATCCTTTTGGATCTGGAGTACCTGCTCCTCAGTTGTGGCCACTGCTCCAGTTTTAGTGTCGTCTGCAAATTTGATCAGCAGACTGTTCACCCCTTCTTCCATGTCGTTAATGAAAAGATTAAACAGGATCGGCCACAGGACAGAGCCCTGGGAGACCCCGCTTGTCACTGGCCGCCATCCTGATGATTCCCCGCTAATGGTTAACTTCTGCTTTCGGTCAGTCAACCATGCCCTAATCTACCGGACAGTGCTTTGGTGTATCCCAAAACTCCTCAGTTTCTCCACCAGGATATCATGGGGCACTTTGTCAAAGGCCTTGCTGAAATCCAGGTATACCACATCCACTGCAACCCCTCCATCTAGCCATCTCGAAACTTTGTCATAGAATTCCACAAGGCTTGCCTGGCAGGACCTGTTTTTGCAGAAGGCGTGTTGTGTGGCTGTCAACCTCCCTTCCCTATCTAGCATCACTAGATCTCTCACTATTATGAGCCTTTCCATTGTTTTTCCTGCAATGGACATAAGGCTAACCGGTCTATAATTCCCCATGTCCTTTCTACTACCCTTTTTGAAAATTGGGACCACTGATGCCACCCTCCAGTCCTCTGGAACTTCACCCGTTCTCCACGAGGCCTCAAAAATGGAGGCCAGTGGGCGTGAGAGAACCCCTGCCAACTCTCTAAGTACTCTTGGGTGTACCCCGTCAGGATCTGGCACCTTTGTAATGTCCAATGCCCTGAGGAGCCCCTCGACTTCAAGGGGGGTGACTCTAATCTTGCCCCTAAGTCCCCAGCCTCATCTAATCTCCTATGCAGATATCCTCCGTCCTGCTTTGGGGAGAACACAGAGGCAAAATAGTCATTTAGCATCTGTGCCTGTTCCCTCATATCAGTCACTGGATCTCCTTCCTCCTTATTTAGTGGTCCCACCACTTGTCTCCCCTTCCTCTTCCTATTTACATGCTGAAAGAAGCCCTTTTTGTTGCTCTTGATATTCTTGGCAAGTCTCAGCTCGTAATCAGCCTTAGCCTTGTGAAGAATCCTTCTGCAATGGGCCTCCTCCTCCCGGTATACCCTTTTGTCTATTTGCCCCAGTACCCATTTCCTATGGAGGTTCCTCTTTCGTCTAATCCCCCTAACCACCTCCTTTCACATCCATGGCAGTGTTCTCCTCCACCTCCCCACCTTACTGACTAGAGGTATCGTCAAGGCTTGAGCCTCCAAAACCTCCCTTTTGAGTGCCATCCACCCCTCCTCAACTCGCTTACCTTCCAATAACCTATCCCAGGAGACTTTCCCCAGTCTGGCCTTCAGTTGGCCAAAGTTGGCCCTCCTGAAGTCCCAGCTTCTAGTGCTCGACCTGCTGCACGTCCCCAGTCCCCTGATCTCAAAGCAAAGGATGGAGTGATCACTCGCATCCAGAGCTCCCCTAATCTGTACTTCATCTATCAGCTCTTCCCTATTGGTCAAGACCAAGTCAAGGATGTTTCCCCCCCTCGTCGCCTCTTGGACCCTCTGTGTGAAAAACCCTCTCTCTATAGTTTCTAGGAAGCGACATGACCTGGCTGTCACCGCCGAGTGAGTCTCCCAAGTAATATCCAGGAGATTGAAATCTCCCATAATTACTGTGTCTCTCCTCCGAGATATCCTTAGAATCTGGCCTGTCAGGATATCATCCAGGGTCTCAAGGTGACCTGGAGGGCGATAACATACCCCCAGTGTCAGGTCTCTTTCCCTGTCAAAACCCCTAAGTTTCACCCAGACTGCCTCTACCGAATCCCCATCTGTGCTGCATTCTATCTCACTGCATCCTATCCCTTCCCTGACGTATAAAGCCATGTCCCCACCCCTCTTTCCCTTCCTGTCCTTTCTAAAAAGGTGATACCCTTCTATGTTCACATTCCAGACTTGCCTTTCATCCCACCAAGTTTCTGTGATTCCCACCAGGTCATACCCTCCTATTCCCAGGAGAGCGTCAAGCTCTTCCTGCTTATTACCCATGCTCCTAGCATTGGTGTACATGCACTTCAACTCCTTCCCTCCGCTTCCATTCCTTGGAGTTCCCAGCCTCCTCCTTCCTCCCATCCTCCCTGATACCTGGCCCCTCTCTGTAGGAGTCTTGTCAGTCCCTGCAGTACCTCTAAAACCCTGCTCCCAGAGCCCTGATCCTCCCCCCACACTTGTCCAGTGCAGACATGTTACTGGGGGGCCTGAACCCACACCCCCGACTCAGTTTAAAGTCTTCTGGACGAAGCTCGCTAGAGCATCTCCAAAGGACCTTTTCCCCATCCTCGTGAGGTGTAATTCGTCCCTTGCCAGAAGTCCATTGGCAAGAAAACGAGTGCCGTGGTCGAGGAACCCGAAGCGTTCCTTCTGGCACCACACCCTAAGCCAGTCGTTCACCTTGGAGGCCCTCCTGTCCCAAATCCCCGGACAGGTATGATTGACGAGAAGGCCACTTGGGCCTTCAGCTCCCTGAGTTTCTTCCCCAAGGCCTCAAAGTCCCTGGTGGTCCCAACCACACCCTGCCTGGCACCCATTTGTGCCCACATGGATCACCAGGAGCGGCTGGTGACCCCCGGAGCGAACAAGACGCTCCACTCTGTCCTTTACATGCCAGATGCGTGAGCCCGGCAGGCAGCAAACCTCCCTTGTCTCCAGGTTGGGGCGGCACACCGCCACTTCAGTGCCCCTCAGCAGGGAGCCCCCAACAACAATCACCCGCCGCCGTATCTTCCCGGTGCTGGTGGGCGGCCGTGCCCTGGCCCTCGCTTCTCCAGCAGCGGCCCCCTTGCTGCCTGATGTCCCAGGCTGGGGGTCCTGCTGGTCCCCCGAGGCCTCATCAGCCCCAGCCTCCCCAAGTGGAGAGAACCTGTTTCCCAGCTCCAGATTGGTGCCAGGAGGAGGAGGAGGCCGTGCTGGCCTCCTCCTCCTGTGGGTGACATGCCTCCATGTCTCCGCAGCTGCTCCTCCCGTGGCCTCTCCCTCGACCCTCTGTCCAGAGGGGGGCTGCTGCCGGGGGGGCCTGGAGAGCTCTCTCGGCCCTCAGGCCCCTCACCTCCTCCTCTAGCAGGGTCTCCAACTTGCACTGAGGGCAAGTGTATCTCTGCCTCTCCTGGGGGAGAAGGGCGAACATGTCGCAGCTGTCGCAGTGGACAGCAACACCCGTGACCCCCGCCAAGGCCATCTCCTGGTCTGCCATTGGGATCCCTTCTGAGACCTTACCTTGGTCCCCTGCCTTGTTTGTCCTGCAGTTCCTCTCACTCACTCAGTTCTCCCAGACAAAAACCCACTCGCACACACAAGGATAAAATAAACTGAATAGGTGACACTCTTGACTGTTGCTTCTTGTTAACAACCTTTGGTGAGAAGAGAACTGAAAGAAAAGAGCGTGAGGGCTAGAGGAGGTTGGCAGGCTTCTCCATGGATGGGAGAGCATGGTTATTATGGAATGAGTAGGAAGCAGGGTCATCTCAGGTAAGGATGTCTGATGGGCTTCGGAGAAGCTGGAGCTGTGATTTCCTAAAATTGGGTAACAGCAGTGATCAGAAAAGCAGGAGGTGGACAAGGCTGATAAGGAGAATGAGTAGGATTACAGTTTGAGGGGATCAGAGAAGATAAGGGGGGAATGAGGAAGGTGAGTAACTGATCTCACCAGGTGGCTGATTGCTGGGGTAGAAGAGGATCAATGGGGGCAGTGGAGGAAATAATCTGGACTGAGCAAGGTTGGCAGGCTTTGCAGAAATGCCCAACTGAAAGATGAATTGCTGTTTAAATTGCAGGTGGGCAGGAAACGATGCCCTGGAAATGTGGAGAGATTGGCAGAAGTTTACAGGGAAACGAAATCAAGGGAGGGCTGAGGGGAAAGAAGGCTGGGATCCTCTGAGAGTTGGGGCTGAAGGGCAGAAGAGACTGACAGGAGGTTGGGATTCGGATAGCCCAGAGGAGGGTGAGGGGAAAAGTTGTGCGGCAGAAAGCAAGCCAGGGCGAGGGAGAAGAGGTCTTCGGAGAGGTCAAGGGGTGCTAAGGATTATGGAGGGAAGCGCCAGAAGGCTTAAAGCGGCTTCCCTCAACCAGGCGCCCGCTGGACGTGCTGCAGCCTGGCTGGGCTCGGCTGGCTTGATTCTAGATGGGGGGCGCAGAGACAGGTGGGTGGCCCTGGGAGAGAGGGCGGAAATGGCAGGCGAAGGCGACTCACCGGATCCCTCGGCCGTGACGATGGCCTCCGGGGAGATGCACACGCCTCGGTCGTAGACGGGCAGCTCGTCGCAGGCCAGGCTCTCGGGCCAGGCGTGGCCGTACTTGATGAGGACGGGCTCGCAGCCGGCGCGGGCCCGCTCGCACACGGACTTGCAGGGCTTGATGGGCTCGTGCTGGAAGTCGATGGTGCAGATGGGCGCGTACATGGCGCACAGGAAGAAGAGCAGGTCGGCGCTGCAGTGCACGCCCAGCAGCCCCTCGAACTGCTCGATGGCCAGGATGGCGTTGGCCTGCGTGCTGTGGTGCAGGTGGTTGGGCATCTTGGTCATGTTCCAGGGCAGCGACTTGCAGAGCGGGATGCGCACCGGCTCGCACGCCGCGCCCCGCGCCCCGGGAGCCCAGCTCGCCAGCAGCGCGACGGCCAGGGCCACCAGGCAGCCCGGCCGCGCCATCCGCTCCCCTCCGGGACGAGCGCCCGAGCCGCGCACGCCTGCTGCTGCTGCTGTTGCCGCCGCTGCCCCACGGAGGGGCGCCTCGGGCTTCCTGCTCCGGCGGCTGCCGCTTTCCGGCCGCCTGGGAAGCTCCTCTCGCGGGCGAATCCTGCACAGCGTCCGGGGGAGGCGGCGGCGGCGACGGCAGCGATGATCCGCGGAAACAGACTTGGGGGAGGGGGCCGGGGGGGTGCTCAGCTCCCGGCTAGATCGGATCACCATATAAATAGGGCTCGCCCACGAAGGCTACTTGGGGAGCACCCACGGAAAGGAGCGGCACTTGGAGAAGTTTGCAAAAGGCTTTGTTTTTAGCCGTGGGGGGCGGTAAAGAGAAAGTTTCTGATGCTGCGAGGAGAACCTGCGCTGCTCCAGGCTCTCTTCGGGTCCGCTCTTGCTGCTGGCTGGACGGACAAGACCGGCTTCGAGTCTGTGTGGCCGAATCCAGCCCCTTTCCCACTTTCCCACCTCCTCTCCGAAGAGTCCCACCTCCTCCCCCTCCCCCTCCTTCCAGGGCTGCAGCTCTCCTTATCCCGCTCGGTTTCCGCCCCCCTTTCATTTCAAGGGAGGAAAGAGAAGGGGCGGCGAAGTGGGGGGGGGTGTCGAGGGAGGGAGACGAACCGGATGACCCGAGGCCGCATTCATGCCCATCAGCCCAAGCCGCGGCTTGTCTCCCGCCACGCCTCTGCTGTTTATCCCTCTAGAAAACAGCAACCTTTCTCTTCCCACCCACGCCCTCCTTTGCTTTAGAGCTTCTGGAGCTGCATTTAAAAATAAGTAAGGGTGAGCATTGTGCAGTGACTTGGTCCTGCGAGGTGCCGGACAGGACACCCACGCCATTCAGTGAGCATAAATTTCTCAGACACAGGCGCTCAAGAACCGGCTGGATCTTTATTTACTGCAAGAAGCACGCTCGCTCCAGCTCTCTAGTTCGCCCTCTGTAAATCCCGCAAGTGAGAAAACGCTTTCCCATCGTCCGTCTGCTTTCGGCTTAAACAGCTCTTTTTCATTTCCCCCCTTTTCCCTCCTTCCCCCTCCCCCTCTTCTTTCTCTTAACAACAAAAGTTGCTTATAGCCTCTTTCTGTGCAAGGAGAGAAGGCTTTTTCATTGTGCTGGCTCCCTCGCGCGCGCGCGCGCGCTCCCTTTCCCCCATAGAAATCTCTCTGGGAAAACGTGCGCCACACTGGCCTAAGGAAGCCCCTTCCACGGGAATCCAGATGCGTTTAATCTGCAGAAGAAAATAGAAAGCAGATCCTCTCTCACCATCAGCACCACCACCACCACCATCCTCTCCCTCTCCCCCGCGCCTCTCCCAAGCCCCCCTGCTCCGCTTCCCACCAATCTCCTTTTCAGGGCATGGCAGCCAAAGGAGTGACCCACGGAGGCTCCCGAGTCCCGTTGCGGGGCGCGCGCGCGCGGCGAGGCCGGCGGAGGCGAAACGGGGAGGCGGCGGCAGGAGGCTCCGAGCGAGCGCGCGAGGGAAAGAGGCGACACAACAGGAAATCACCTTTGCTCTCCCCCCCCTGAAATATGCCTTTGTTTTGGGCCCAGTTCTTGCTCTCAGCTGATCAGGCCGAAAGAAAGCAGATCCTCTGTGCCTCGCTAGGCTACGTCCATTGGTTAGACTTGGAGACAAAAGTTAGGAGAGCATGTTTGTGTGCGTGTACACTCTTCTGTGTGATAGATGGAGCATTGGAATGCAACACACGAATGCTATAAAAACTACAGTCTTGGGGCATGCTTATTGCAGTGCATAAGCTTTCATGGTCTGCTTCATGGGATTAATCAATGTTGCATTATCCTTACCCTAACCTAATCCTTAGGTTAGTCCTAACCCAGGTTAGTCCTAACCCTGGAGTGGACTGTAGTCCAAAACTGCTTATGTCACACTAAATGATTTAGTCCTTAAGGACTCTGTGCTGTGTTTGCTGCGAAAGACTAACATGGCTTCCCCTTCTGGAAATTGGTACACATTTTCCTTTGAGATGTACTCAAGGAATTAATAGTTCCAAACAGGGAAGACTCATTTTCATTCAGAGAGACTTAAAAAAAAAGATTTCTAAGAAAATTGATGTGATTTTTTTCCCTGCTAAATTGTGCCCTGTGGTGTTCAATAACATCCAAGCTGAGCTGTTGCATATGGCTTTCTTTCACAAATGAAGTAGTCACTCAGCCCTAGTGGATGCGCCACAAGCCTCCTCATACCCATACTTGAACAGTCACCTCTGTACTTTGTGCTCATTGTGCTCAGTAGACAGAGACACATTCATGCAGAACTGCACTGAACTGTCCAACCTCTTCTTCTGAAATGGTCCAAACCAAACAGGTCAAGGTTGACTACAGATTTGAGGGGATGCTGATCAAAGTGCACTCTGGGAGTTCTATCCTATGTGGGCAATCCCAGCGGACTTTCCTGGAAGTGGCAGAGCTGCCATAAATGTGGAGCTGCCACATATATTTCCCACAATGCAACATGTTACTGCAGGGCATGGTGGGAAATTTAGAAAACTATAAGGCATTTGTTTTGAGCAGTGAGGTTGGCTTCAGTTTTCCTTCTCAAGCTTTCTTTATAGCTGCATGCATTCCACAACTTCCCAGATGATGGCCGTGTATTCCCTCCCAAGGCTCAAGCTGCAGACCAAAATTTCTCACAGGGGGCTTCATGAGCATTTTGCAGGCAGCCTGTGAGGCTGCAGGAGGTCTGTCAGCAGATCTGCTCTAAATCTGTTCTTATACGCGGTTGTCAAAAAAACCCATCCCAGGCTGACATTTGGCAGGGAAATTCCCTTTGCAGGTCCTGCACTCGATTTCCACAAACATCTGCTGATGCATTTTCTTGAGAAAACTGAAAAGCTACCCCTTCTCAAGTTAATGGCAAATCAGGTTTATTGTGGTTTTATATTCTAAAATGTGCCCCTTAATCCTTTTCTTTCCCTTGCTTTTTTAAGGAGGTGCAATGTGATTGTGGCAAGCTGCCAGCAGATTCATGGGGCTCCCCTTTCTTTTTTACAGCAACATCTGGGAAGTGTTGGATCCCAGAGAGCTTTTGTTTTTGCTGATGCTCCTTAGCTAGTAGAACTTTGTTTGCAATATAATTACGGTGCTCCATTTCCCAGAGAGAGTTTAGAGATTTGAACTAAGGTAGGACATTTGCCTGTTCCAGCTGGGCTGAGCTCAAGGCTTTGACAATGACATATAAAGCCCTAAATGACTCGGGACCACACTAGTTTAGGGAACACCTTGCTCCATACATTCCTGCCTGCTGTTTAAGATCATGAGTGGAAGCCCTCCGACACATTCCTCTCCCTAATGAGGTTAAGGGGAAGGTTGCAACGAGCAGGGCCTTTCTTAAACGTGGAACGCCCTGCCACTGGAGATTTGCCAGGCGTCTACTTTCCTGAGTATTAGGTGCCTGATTAGGGCTGGGAGCAGGGCCAGGGCAAAGGTGGGCCTGGTTGAGCACCTGCCAAAGGCTGACCCCCCCACCCCACCCCACACACACAGGGGACCACCAGCCAGAGCCCTGTGGACTTGCCCCTCCCCTTCCCCATGGCAACCCTCACTTCCTCCTCCCTCTGGTCCAACAAGGGTGCTGCTCAGGAGGAGCAGCAACCAGCCTGCAGGCTCCTGAGCTGCCTGCCTGCCGGATGGAAAACCAAAGCAGAGCAGAGGAAGAGGTGAGGAGCCTGAGTGCTGGGCCCCACAGCAGTGGGAAAGCAGGCTGCTGAGCGAGGAGCCCCTTGAGGGAGGTTTCTTCAGCGGACTCGAAAGCAAGTGCCAGCACTGCATGGAAGGTGGTGAGATGGGCTCATCTGGGCTTTCTGATGGTGTGCAGCCCACTTCACAGATTTTTGGTGGACAGGCCTCCCCGCCAGAGCAACCCTTCCCGTCACCTAGCCCCCAAGCAGACACAAGAAGGCCCTCCAGGGGGCTGGCAGATCCCCCACTGGTGCTGCCCAAGGACCTCTCCTGTGGCCCCCGCCCTGCTTCTGTAATGTGAATAGGGAATAGGGCTGCACCCCTCCCTGTGCACCGATGGCCTCTGGTGTCTGGGTGGAGGGCTCCGTGTGCTACAGCCCAGGGTGCTCCTGGTCTGCGTAAGGATGCCGGCTTGTTTTGTCTTTTGTGGAAAGGAGGAGGAGAGGATGGAAGAAGCACTGAGAACACGTGGGCAGGGGACAGGCAGAAGATGGCATCCTCTGGAACTCTCCCCCCGAGTGGGGAACAGTGACTGCAGGATAGAATGGGCACTTATGGTGTGATCCTAGGTATGCGGAGAGAGGAGAGAAGTCCATTACTCCATTAAATTAGAATTGTAAGTAGATTGGCATGTAATAGAACAGGGTTTTAGGTTTAGGTACTTGAGTACCCTCTGTGAAGATTCCAGAAAGCAGAAAGAGAGTCATGTCTTGCAAAAGCTAAGCAACTCAGGGGGGACTATTTTAAAATTGTTTCATTCACTGGGTGACAGATTCCAGCCCTAAAAATATCTCGTATTTAAGTGCTTTCTTATATAGCTCAGAGATGCGGGGCAATCATGAGATAGGCTTTATTACACTGGAACTAGAACAAAACAAATTTGCATGGACTTTGTATTAGGACTTGCTCCCAATGCCTGTTCTTTGAGAAGAGGTAGGCTGGCCCTGAGCTAAAGCAAAGGAGCTTGTGGTGTTACTGGCATTGCATACATGACATGGAAGGAATAGCTGGTAGGCCGTTCTTCAAGTACAATGGAAAAACAAATGGCTCACAGCCTGGTGCAGGTACTGCAGGGTTGAAGTCTTGTGGGATCATCTCGAGGAAGGCCGGTCAAGCGCTGAACTACCACCAGGCTGAGCACATTATATGCAATGGAACCGCCCAGGTGTGTTTACCTTAGTGTAAGTATGTGGGCTCCTAATATGGATTAAGACTACGTCATACAGGTAGGGGGGTTAAGCCATCAAATTTCTCCTCCAAACTGTACCCCCACCACCTTAATGTCTTTCTTCTTCTTCTCTAGTCCTCACAGGTGAAAGCAGATAATTTTGGGGGGAAATGACTGTGTGGAAGGCTCAGCCCTCCACTGCCACTGTGTGGTAGTCACATGCTTACACTAAGATAGACCAAAAGGTGAGGCAGCGCTCGACTTATCTAATGTAGCACGGAGGGCTGCGGGCCAAGCTGCACAAGAAGTGAGGTGCCTGCTAGTGTTGTCCGTGGAAGCCCAAGATAACTCAGATATTTGGCATTCTTCCCCTGGTGTGCTGGTTTCCTAGAACTATGCATAGGAGCGATGCCTTCTGCCTTGTTGGATGACAGACACAAACAGGTTCTTATTTCTCAGCAGATCTGTATTTGTCCAATACTAAAAAAGGGTGTGTTTGTCCGTCCATACTATTGCATGAGAACCATGCACCTGAAACTTGACA